CAAAAACCGCCGCATGAAAGCAGCGAGCCGTAAACGGCACGTTGCTGGCTGCTACAGCGGCGGGAACGACTGCAACTGAAACACCAACATAACCGAGAAAAAAGAGCAGCACACGAGGAGACACGGCGGAGGCGTCAGTACCAATGGCAAACGATGGTGAAGATTGCCAAAAAGCAACCTGCAGACTGCATCTGTTCCCGTCTCTGTTCCTCCTCCTGTTTCTGACGCTCCTCCGCGCGCTGCTGCTTACGGGAGAAGATTAACTGTCTTCAAAGACCGTCAGAAAGATGAGGATCTCCTTGCTAAACCGCTAGACATTCTCCAGGCCCAGTGACGACCACAACAAGAGGGAAACAAACAACAAGTCCAATGCAAGCTGAGATGCAGCAAACAAGACATAAAACATTATGCCTGATGACAATCCCAGACACAGCCACGACGTTCCAGGAGTCACACAATTCGTGCCCCCACCCATGAATCCAGCTGGCTTGCTCGCTCGCGACATAGCTGGCGATCTACCTAGCTGGCTAACGACCTAGTTGGCTGTCTAGCTTGAGACCTTGTTGGTTGGCGGGCTAGCTAGCGGGCTAGCTGACTGGCTAGATAGCAGCATGGCTAGTTGGCTGACCAGGCGAACAGGTGGCTCTCCAGCCAGCCAGCCATGGAAATAAACGCTGGCAATCGCCGGAACAGCTATGTAGCCAGCGAATGAAGAAGGTGCTAACCAGCTGGTTGCGTGTTTTAGTAGCTAACCTAAAGTTAGACCTATCCACTGCTTCCAACGACTGGCCTTTAAGTTCAGAAAATAATCAAATCTTCGTTTCCCAAGCCCGTATTGTTGCTGCGGCTGCTCCTGTTTCTATAGCTAGCCAGCAGGCTAGCACAAGCTAAAGAATAAGTGCACAGGATTCGTCCCCTGGAGATCGTCTAGTCCAGACGTGCCCTGGGGGGTTCGTCTCCCGGTCCCAAAAGGGCAATACAAGGTCCCTCATGGTTCCTTGTACACATGTTCACTAACCGGCGCACACTTTGTTGAAAAGAATACAAGTCGTCCCGTCATGCACTGTGTAACAGGTAAAAATTGCGCCTTTTTTCATCCCACAAGTTGACCGGTGGCAAGCTACGACAGCTCGCTGTATTTCCTTGCTCCCCTAGTCAGCTAGCAGTGCAATGGCTAGATGGCTGGTTTTGGGCTCGGTGCCGATTTAGATACTTCATCAGCGGCCATCACTAGGCATGCCATCCACACCAGGTGTCCCCTGCAGCTGCTCATGCTGCTGCTCCTGCAGCTGCTCATGCTGCTGCTCCTGCAGCTGCTCATGCTGCAACATATTCTCTAGCTGCAGCTTCAGTTGCAGCAGCATCTGTTTCTTGGAGATAGCCAGACGGAGATACACATTGTTGTATATTGTAGAGGCTGCAGCTTTTGCTAAGCCAACTGCCAGTTTCAAGATTGCCCACATCCAAAGCAACGTGACGCTGTATGCAAGGATAATATTGGGCCAAGAGCCATACACGACCTTCGTGAACTCTTGATAATCCGGACGCCAATCATCACCTTTCATCTGTTTTGCCGGTAGGTTCCGGGATATGTAATGCCCGGCTATAAGCATCAATATGCACGCTAATATGAACATATTAAGGGGACCAGTTATAGAAGCAGCCATCTGCTGTTTATGCTGGTGCAGCGTCTTGGATGTTAGGGCTTCCGCACTCACAGCACCAGCCTCTCCCAACTCACCTGCCGCGATGCCGTTCTCTGGTCTTCCGCTCTGACGAGAACTGTAAAATTCTTCTGCGACAGCACCTGTACGCTTTGCCTTGAATGCCTGACCCTCAAACAACGAGTGCGAGCCCTGAGCAACCGCCTGACCAGAAGAGGTAAGGGCCCCTTCTGCAAATGCCAGTAGAAGTGGCAAGAGCAGCCACCTCCCTTGCCGCATCATCCTTTCACCTCCCCTGCTTCACCTAAACCGTTTAAAGGTATTAATTGACTTTCTCCGACGTCGGGCCTGCAGCTGTATCTTCGTGCCGGCTATAGGCACAGTAGGATGGCTGCAGTGCATTAGTTCACCAAAGAGGCAGTTTCCACAACGAAACTGGCCTGTACTATTGTCGATTCACAGCTCTTGAGCTCTAATAGTTAAAACTGCGTCTTCTAGCCTAATAAGGATCGCCCTAAGCTGTAACATAATCGGAACCGTTGAGATCGATCATTGAACAAAGTCCTGGATCTCCTTTCCGCTTTCCAGGCCTTTCGGCACATCAGTCGAGGGACATACACCTCAAGAATAAGTGTGAGAAATCCTGAATATAAAGATTTGGGGGAATATTTGGTGCTAGGGATCCAACGGCCTTCCGACACCTACCCCTCACCAGCAACTGTAACGCACGGCGGCCGTTTGCCGTGGCTACGTATCACTCCCTAATAGGCCTATAGGCCCCTATGGTGCTAGATCTACAAAATGAGCGTCTAAATACCTTAACTCTCAGTTATTCCCAGGGAAAATCCCTAAATTACGGAACTTCCGAAGGAAGGATCGATCTTAATCGCCTTCCCTCATGAGTGTCTATTCGTCCCCGCCACACCCTGCCGTCCATCCCGGCACCGGGTGCTACGGTCGGACCGCAGGCATGGCCTGACTCTTTCGGACTAACTCTGCACCTGAATGTGCCAATTTCATTCTAATTACTAAGACCCTTATCCCTAATTGAATACACAGAGCCAAACATGACCTAACTATGTCACTTACCTTCTATGCGCCAGCGCGCATAGCTCTGCGGCGGGGTGCTGCTGCTCAGCCCCAGCACCAAATAACTGCTACACCTCTAATATGCTCCTAAACCTACTAATACTATTGAATTCCATCTATAGTTAAGCCTAGGTAGCCTCAGATCTCTAATAGGGACGACACGAG